TCTCTCTCTGTCAAATAAATAAATAAAATCTTTAAAAAAATAAATAAATAAATATTTGGTTATTAGAGCCAAGACACAAAAATTAATGCATTTTGAAAGGTGTTTTTGTTTCCATCTGTTTCTTTGCTATACATTGATTATCCACTCTTTTTAAAAACTTCAAATATAAGATCTATCTTCAAATTATTGAGTATTTCATCCATCCAAGTATGTGAACATTCTCCTGTGAATAAATTTATATAGACCTTTATATACATGGAGCTTGGTAGCTTGAAATGTTTTTTAAGGAGAAACTATTTGAATGATAAATATATCTAGTGCCCCTTGGGTTTTTTGTTTTTTAATTTCTCAAATACACAATTATTTGGGGGTGGTCACTCAGATGGAAAAATACTGGCATATGTGTTGAACATTTTATTTTACTATAGTTTTTAAGAATTTTTGCCAACAACCTGCTTTCTTAGGGCCTATGCACCCCCCCCTTCCCAGCTGGACATCCACTTTTCCTATTTTTTTTTTCCCCAATTTTTTTTTTTATGCAGGGGAGAGAGGCAGCTCCCAACCATAAAAGCTTCATTCTTTAATATGGGGGTTTGGGGATGAAGGTATTTTGTGAAGACAAGTCCATATAAAATGTGTAATGAATATTCCACGAGAAGGATGTCTCTTTGTGCTCTCAACTCATTTTTTAATTTTACAGTAAAACATTACTTCTTAGGAAATGTTTAAACCAGTGAGAGAAAGCTGATGCAAATAATTAAACCACTCCTTATGGTTTTTAAATTTTAAATTGTATATTGGCTTTTGATTTCAGTGTCTGGTGTGAATTAAGTTCTTACTACAACTGCAGTGCATACCAACCTTCCCTACGACACCATTTCCTGGAATGTGAAGCCCTCATGCCATTAGCTATCCACACGCAGCAAGTTTTGTGTATGTGCATTTCTTTTTTGTGCACTCTGTTAGTCTGGTTGTGACTAAAATCAGCTTAACTTTTGTATTAGATTATTTCACTAACTGCTCTAGTCAAAATGATCAAATCTTTGTACAATAGAAAATAATTTAAATTTTTATTTTTCTACTGACATTTCTAATTCTGGTATAAATGTTTATCAATAAAGAATTTCAATTCTGTGAACTGGAATGGTTATTTCTTTTTTACAGTGACCAGTGAATTTAATCTTTTGCAATAAAGTCTGACTTAGATTTTTGGATTTTTAAATAACTTAGTACTTAACATATGTTTACCTGTATTTCTTTTACATTCAATTTCTTACTAATTTATGGTAAAATCCTTGTTCAAAGATGTGATTAAACTGTATGCACATGTGAACTTGAGTCCTATTAACTGCACTTTGTGGGCTGTATCTTGCCATCAAGAAGCGTTTTGTCTGATTCCACACTGGGATGGCTGAGAGCTGATACAGTGTATGAAAAAAATTATTTCAATAGTAGGTTCACATGAAGAGTGGCTCCGACGTCGGTTTAGCACTCTCAGGGACATCACAGAAGTCTTTCTCTGCTCTGCCGTTTTCAGCGAACTGTCCAATTTGGGTGTCTTACATCCTAGTCCAAGATAGACGACCCCTACAGTTCCAGGCGTCATAGATAGACATACAATGTCTGGCGGGAGACTGCCCATTCTTTCTCTTTTATTTTTTATTGAGGTATAATATACAGTAAAGTGCACACATCTTAAATGTATAGCTTGATTAATTTTTACGTATTCATACATTTATGTGAATACCATTCGCAACAAGGTACAGAGCAATTTCTAGGACCCCAGGAGAACCCTACATGCAGAGTTGGGCCAGAAGCCCCCAAGATTGTATACGTATCCAGGACCCAAGGCAGGAGGAACTTTTCTTCAATTTTCAAAAGGTGATAACTCAAGATTGGACAATGGAAAGAGATTGTGTAAGATGAGGGGCTAAAGGTGCTGAGTATGGTAAACTGGACCCCATAAACTATTGCTAAGACAACACAGTACTAACGAGCCCAAGAATCTTCTAGGGAGTTGAGGGAATTTGTACTTGGGCCAACCATTGCTTAGTTCCAGCCTATTTCTACTTGGTGGGATTTTGAGCCCAGAATAGCCAGATTTTCCAGTTTTTCAAGGGAAGTTGCAAATCTAGATTATTTGAAATCTATATTTTTAAGCGCAACTAATTTGAATTCACAAAAAATGCTTTTCAGGTCAAATAACACATGCCTTTGAGCGTTGAGTTGGCCTCTTCATTAAGCTATTTGAAACAATGGAAAATAGTTCCTACCCTGGTTATCCTTAAAGTGGTTAGAAACTTTGTGATTTGAACAAATGTATGGAGTGCTAGTGAGCTGTAAAGAGGAGACTGGGAGAAATGAGATGATGCTGGAGGAGAAAGTCTGCTAGAGAACCCCAACGCATCCTTTTCCCCAGGCGTGGACCCCAGTGATGGGGCAAAAGTCTATGTCCTGGTTTGTCACTGCAGGTACCACTTACCCTGTCCAAGGGAAAAGGCTGAGCATGTTAAACTTCCAAATATCAGGTCCTAATTTTACATCTATTTTTCTATTCTCCTCCCATAAGGAAGATCTACTGAAATGGATCATAGACCTAAATGCACAAACTAAAACCATAAAGCTTTAAAACGGGTTAAATTTTGTGATCTTGAGTTAGGCAAAGCCTTCTTAGATAGAAGCCCAGAAGCACCAGGGAAAAGAGAAAAATCGATAAATTGGACTTCATCAAAATGAGAAAATGTTATGCTTCAAAGGGTGCCATCAAGAGAGTGGTGGCACACAATAGGAGGAAATATTTTCAAGGCCTATGTTTTATGAGACTGGTATTCAGAATATATAAAGAACTCTTACAACTGAACCATAAAAAGAGAAATAACCTGATTTTAAAATGGGCAAAGGATCTGGATAGACATTCTCCGAAGAACATACACCATGGCCAATAAAGACAAGAAAAGATGCTTAACATCATTATTGAACAGGGAGGTGCAAATCAAAAATACGACGAAATGCCGCTTCCCACCCACTAGGATGGCTTTAATCAAAGAGACAAGAGTATTGCCAAGGTGTGCAGAAACTGAAACCTTCATATATTGCTGCTGAGGATGTAAAATGACACAGTTGCTTTGGAAAGCGATCTGGCAGTTTTCCTCAAAAGGTAAAGCACAGAATTACTATATGATCAAGAAACTCCGCAGGTATATATCCAAGAGAAATTAACTCTGAAGATGTGCTAAGTGAAAGAAGACAATCCCATAAGACCACATATTGTATAATACCATTTATATGAAAAGTCCAGAATAGGCAAATCTATAGAGACAGAAAGATTAAGCCTAAGGCTGGGGATTGGGGAGAAATGGGTAAGGAGCTCATTTTTGGTGATAGTTGCACAAGTCTGTGAATTTACCAGAACTATTGCATTGTGTACTTTAAATGGGTACATTTTATGTGAATTATGTTTCAATTAGGCTGTTTTTAAAAGTTTGCTGGCATAGTGCCACGGTAATGTCCTATTAATCACAAATGTGTGTTCATCTCTTTCTTAACTAAGGTAACTGTAGGACTGGGTCAGTCATACCCAGTCTAGTCCAGAGTATCAATGAGGAGCAATTTTCAGCTGGAAAAAAACGTAAACCTGAAAAAAGAGGATGTTAATTGTTGATGCTTCCTCTGTATTTGTTTCTGATTACTGCCTCCCATAACTGGATTATAACTTAAAACATTTTAGTCTGGTAAAATTATAAAGATTGTATGCAGCTGTACTTCCATATGGATTCACTTGAAGGATTCGTGCAGATGTCTGAATTCTAGAATGCAGTCGATTCCTGTTGACAGTACTTACGTCTCTAAAGTCACCGTGCACACTCCATTATCGAACACTGAACCACTATTGGGGGAAATACAGGGTTGGGTTCCTGCGAGTCTCTGCTCACAATACTTTTGTCAACTGATCAATACATAATCTTGTTCTATGTGTGCTTCTGTTCAAAGACACCCTTTTAAATACATCTTTCTTACAATAGTTATGTGCAGTATTTCTTCATAATAAAACAATATTTCAATTACAGCATTTTTGTGTAATGTCCTTCACAATACTGCAACTGTATTAACTCCTTCCCTCAGTCATATGCACACAGGCAGTACACGTATATAGTACATGTAGTAAACACACAGGATAACATACGATACTCACATAAACACAGAGTACTGTGAACACATACTGTTATACCACACAGTAATGCAAATAGAGTCCTGAAAAAATTAGAGATTTCATGAAAACGTTAACTAGAACCTTACTGTTGATGGAACGGCAGGATGTGTGATGGTGCAGCAGTGTGGGTAAACCTCTTGACCTTGGCTTGCCTCACGAAAACCAAGGAAGAGGTAGGTGGAATTTATTCTGCAGAAGAGGAAGAGGGCAGCATGTCCACATTTGGCAGTTCAACCTCAGGAGTTTGCCTCTCATGACTTGTTGATGGAGTCGGCAACTTTCCCTCCCAAACCGGCCTGAAAAACTGGGTCAGCCTCGTCTGCTTGGCTTTTTGCCTCAAATCTTTAAGCATCTTGGAACAAGGGGCAAATGCCGTGGAGGTGAGGCGCTTAAATTTGAGGCTGTGATCGAGCATAGGGTCGCACTCTTCCATGTCATTGAAAATTCTTTCCAAGGCAGAATTCCATTCTGATATTTTAGTCACTGTAAGAGGGTCAATTCTTGAAGCCGTAGGCTGGCTTTCATGTTCATCCTCGTCATTGCCGACTCCAATGCCTTGTTTTGCCATCTCATCCAGGTCTTCGTTGGTGGGTTCTACTGCCTTTTCTGCCAGAATTTCCTCCACGTCTTCCTCCTTCATGTCATCAAAGCCTTCCCCACTTATTTGCCGTGCAATGTGCATTATATTTTTGACAGTCGTTTATACTTTCTGTAACACCTTCAAAGCCTTCAAAATCTTGCACACAGTCTGGCCAAACATTTTTCCAACAGCTATTGATAGTAGCTTGTTTGATGCTGTCCCAGGCTGTCCCAACATAATCAATAACGTTGCTCAGAGTGACTGACTTCCAATAGTCCAACATGGTAGTCTCCGTGTTGGACTTGAGAGCCTCAAAAGCCTTGCTATAAAGCTCCCGGGTATAGTGTGCCTTGAAAGCTTTTATTATCCCCTGATCCAGGGGTTGGATGAGAGATGTAGTGTTTGGGGGCATGAAAAGAACTTCTACGCTGGGGTGGGCATTTCTGAGTTCTTCACAGCAATGGACTGGGGCATTATCCAAAATTAATAAAACCTTGAAGGCAAGGTTTCTGCCCTGGAGATAGCATTCAACTTCCGGTATGAAGCAGTTATGGAACCAATCAGATGTCATCCACGCTTTTTTGCTCCACCTCCAATGCACTGGCATATGGTTCACGCTTTTGCCTGTCAGTGCTGGTGGATTCTGGGCTCTGTATACTATTAGGGGTTTGCACTTGAAGTCGCCCTTGGCATTGGTACACAAGAGCAAGTTTGCATAGTCTTGGAAAGATTTAAAGCCAGGGGCTTTGCAGGCCATTTGCGTTATATAGGTTCTTTTGCCAACGTCCTTGTAAAATAAGCCAGTCTCATCAGCATTGAAAACCTGCTCTTCCACATATCCTTTCTCCCGTATAACACTCAGCAAGTATTTTTTAAACTCTTCTGCAGCCTCCTGATGTGCACAACTTGCCTCACCTGCGAGTTTAACATTGTTCACACCATACCGCTTTTTGAAACGTGCAAGCCAGCCAGCGCTGGCGGAGAAAGGTTTAACATTTTTCTGGCCCTGGGTAACATGACCATAAATTTCTTTGGCTTTCAGCCTCACGACAATGCTGTCCACCACACCTTTTTTATCGGTTGTCATCTCATGAATCCATAAATTTAGCCGCTTTTCCATCTTTTCCATTGCTTCCTCGCGCACTATAGACGTTACTTTAGCACTTTCCGGAGCAGCCTCACGTACAGATCGACGAATTTCCTCTTCCTTTTTCTTGATGTACCGGATTGTTGATTCATTAACATTGAACTCACGGCCAACAGCACTACAACTCATGCCTGAACGAAGTTTATCTAACACACGTATTTTCTCCATAAGGCACATCACGGCCTTCTTGCGCTTAGGAGCACTAGGCAGGACTTCACCACTACGCTTGGGGGTCATTTTAAACAGCGAAATCACCATCAAAATGCACAAAAATGCAAAAAACGTGCCCCTGAATAGACTGCGAAAAGGACAATTATTTACAGCATGACAGATGAAGCAAGAAAGCTCATTGTGTCTGCCTTGTTCAACCTCAGCAAGTATACCGCACCGTTGGTTGCCTCAAGAGTTTCACCCTCTGCGCATGTCCGCGAATAACCCCAGAAAGCACCGCGAATATTGATTTTTGGGGTTATAGTAAGTTTAAACAAGTAAGCGAATTCGAAAATACCAACCTATGAATAACGAAGGTCAACTGTATTCCCATACACATGTAATTCTGTTTAAGCACATTTATTAAATCAGAGCGACCGGACGGTGCTGAAGACTACAAGTTCCAGCATGCACCGCTCCAGCGGCGGAGTCCATGCGCTGTCAACCACTACAGTACGGCCAGGCGCGAGGCATTGGCCCGGAAATGTCGCGTTTGGACTACGCAGAACTCTCTGCGCATGCGCACACGTTGCGGGGTTGGGGGCCCCGCCCCAGCCGTCCCCGCCGCCCCCACCCCCGCTGCAGCTCTATGGTCTCTCCCTAGAGCTTTACCGTTTGGGGCAGCTGCTGAGGTCCTGTGGCTCCGCCCGCTCCGCGCGGCAGCGACATGGAGGAATTCGACTCTGAAGACTTCTCCACCTCGGAGGAGGACGAAGACTACGTGCCGTCGGGTGAGCGATTCGGCCGGAGGCGAGAGGAGGCTTGCTCCGCCCCGCGCTTCACGTGAGGCGCGCTTGGCCCGGCGTGCGTGGCCCGGTAGCCCCTGTGGCCCCGGCGGCGCGGGTCTCGAGCGACCCCGCCGTGCAAGTCCCGGTTCCTCGCCCGCCTGCTCCGTCCGCGCGGTAGCCCCGGGCCGAGACGTGTGCGCGGGGGAATCTCGCGCAGCCGACCCCCGCGGCCTGGCTCGGGCCGCCGCCCCCTCTCGGAGCGCGGGAACCCGCACGTGAACACCGCCCTCCTCTGGGGATGCTGTCGGTGTCGGTCGGTAGCCCGACCGACTGCACCAGCGCTCAGGTCTTCTGAAAGGCAGTGCGAGCGTTGGACGTTATCGTTAGACCTTCCGTCCCGAGGGACTTGCTCGCTAGCACTACGTCCAAGATAAATCTATCCACCGTATGCCCTCGCATGGTTATTAGAAAGTTCATCTGATGATGCATTTTGTCTCTTTGCGACGTATACCTATTCCTCTTTTTTCAGGTTTCTCGGTCTTTGGTATAGGTTTCTCAAACTAAAAGGGGCCAAAATAAATCTTGTCACTCAAACCTACCCCTTCCGCTATCGTGCGCCTTCCCCAGGCTATCCATCTCATTTAAAGTATCCATACAGTCGCTCAGGGGAAAAACAAAACAAAAACCCTAGGAATCATTCATTTTTATTTTCTCTCTTTTGGTTCAAGCAGTTGGTAAGTTCTGTTGTGTCTACGTGAGAAGTCGGTTTCTGACCGCTTCCTTGTCAATCTCCCTGTTACTGAACTGCCATTATTCTTCACTAGGATTATCCATAGCTTCCCAGCTGGTTTCCCTGATTCCGTTTCCATTGTTGGCCACCAACGTTGGTTTTATGGTAATGGCCAGAGTGGTTATTTGAAAACTAGTTTTCATTTTAATCAAAGTTGTGCATACCCATACTTAAACATAGTCAGGGGCGCCTGGGTGGCTCAGTCCGTTAAGGGTGGGACTCTTGATTTTGGCTCAGGTCGTGATCTCAGGGTGGTGAGATTGAGCCAAGGTTGGGCTCCATGCTAGGGGTGGAGCCTGCTTAAGATTCTCTCTGACCCTCCCTCCATCTCTAAAATGAGTAAATAAATCTTAAAAAAAAAAAAAAAGGTCAATTATTTCTAAAAGCCTTGTTTTGAAAACTAACAGGTCCCATCACCCTGCATCCCTGTTCATTCCTCCTCAGGAGAAACTGCTTTCCACTTTTTATTTTGGTATTTTCATTTTATGTTGACTTAACCCATGCTCGGTAGGTGTTATTATTATTTTTTTTTTTTTTAAGATTTTATTTATTTATTTGAGAGAAAGAATGAGAGAGAGAGCATGAAAGGGAGGAGGGTCAGAGGGAGAAGCAGACCCCCTGCCGAGCAGGGAGCCCGATGCGGGACTCGATCCCGGGACTCCAGGATCATGACCTGAGCCGAAGGCAGTCACTTAACCAACTGAGCCACCCAGGCGCCCTATTTTTTTTTTTTTAAAGATTTTATTTATTTATTTGAGAGAGAGAATGAGACAGAGAGAGAGAGCATGAGAGGGGGGAGGATCAGAGGGAGAAGCAGACCCCCTGCTGAGCAAGGAGCCCGGTATGGGACTCGATCCCGGGACTCCAGGATCATGACCTGAGCCGAAGGCAGTTGCTTAACCAACTGAGCCACCCAGGCGCCGGCGGTAGGTGTTATTTTAATACCCTCTTAGGTCATCCCGATCATTCCCAACACACATCCTTCCACCCTCAGGCCCTCCCCAGCTCCCCAGCCTGCCATTGTTACCATGTCCAGTTTTGGTTAGATCAGTATTCCAAGTTTACTTTTTTGTAATGCACACATTCAGGTCTGAATCATGTGGCATATACTGTGATTCCTTTTCTACACAACTTGTTCTGTGTGGAATTAATAATTGCCATTTGTTGTTGCTTAGTTGTCTATGTCCTTACTATTAATTTGACCCTAAACTCTCAGAATTGTGTAAATCATCTCCCAAGGCAATCAGATTCATTAAAGAGTCGTTTACTTTCATGTTGAAGTCCAATCTTTGCCTTCTGACCTCCAGTTTGCCTTGGTTTTATCACTTTTAAACCTAGGATCTTTTGTCACCATCACCACTCTGGGTGTTCCACTTATCTCCCTTTTCTGTTGGATTCCGTTTCTTGGGTCCTGTGTTATCTTTTTTTCTTGGCGTGTTCCACCAAAATGAGAATAAATTCTCAACTACTCAAGGACAGATGATGTATAATAGACATTCAGGGTGTCAAAACAGTATTTCTAAAGATAACTATGTGACCCCAGGGCATAATTGATACTTTGTCTGGTATAGAATTCTGTGTTTTGTAATAATAATTTTAGGCTTTGTAATGATATGGTAATGGTAATGATAGCTTTCCATCAGAATGTTAAGGGTGTTGTTTTATTACTTGCTAGCTTCCAGTGTTTCTATTAAGAAGTCTGTTTTGCTGATTTCTGTTTATTTATATAAGATCTGTTTATCTTTGGAAGCTGATAGAATCTTCTCTTTATTCCTGATTTTTCTGATATTTCACAATGATATACCGTGGTATGAGTCTGTTCTCATCCATTGTGCTAGGTTTCTGGAACTTTTGGAGAGAGGTAATTTCCTTTTTTCATTTTCTGTTATTTTTCTGGAAACCTCATTATTCAGATGTTGAATCTTATGTTAGATCTTCTGGACTGGCTCTCTAATTCTATCATTCTATTTTCTAACTCTTGACTTTTTTCCACTCCATGGAAAATTCTCAGTATCTTCAACTCTTGTATTTTTTTCCTCCTTTGATATTTTTAAGTTTGAATAACTTTTTTCTCCCTTAGTCATTTTTTATAGCAACATGTTCTCATTTCATAGTGAAATATCTTATTGCTTTATGGATATTAATACTAATTTAAATTTTTCAGTGTTTAACTTACATACAGTAAAATTTATTCTTTTCAGTGTACTGTTCTGTCAGTTTTGATAAATGCTTAGAGTTGAGTGACCATCACCAAAATTAACAGTTCCAAGGCCACCCCCCCCAAATAAAACATAGACCATGATGTCTGAATAGAAACAGTTTTATTTCTTCTTTTCCAGTAGGTATGTCTTTTGTTTCAATCGCTTGCTTCACTGCTCTTGGTAAGACTTCCAGTATGACGTTGAAGGAGTGGTGAGAGTGGACATCCTTGCCTGGTTCCCAATTTTAAGAGGAAATTATCAGTGTTTCACTATTTAGTATGTTAGCTATGGGTTACAGATGCCTTTTGTGTGTGCATGTTTTAAGTCCTTTACATTGACTAATACATTACTAGCTCACTCACTACTGAGTATGTGCTATTCTCTTCATTTTGCAGACAAAGAAATTGAGGCACAGAGAATTAAAGCAAGTTGCACAAAATCATTCAGCTATAGAGTAGCTGAGCTGGGATTTGAACCCTGGCAGTCTGTGTATACTGCTCCTCACCGATGCATTTTATCAGGTTAAAGAAGTTCCCTCTACTCTTGATTTGCTGAGAGGCAAATTTTGTCAAATGCTTTTCCTCCATCTGTTGATAGGATTTTGTATGATTTTTCTTCCTGTTAATACGGTGAATTACAGGGCGCCTGGGTGGCTCAGTCGGTTAGGCGTCTGCCTTCGGCTCAGGTCATGATCCCAGGGTCCTGGGATCGAGCCCCGCGTCGGGCTCCCTGCTCAGCAGGAAGCCTGCTTCTCCCTCTCC